CCATATCTTGGCTATTGTAAATAGTGCTGCAATGAACATGGGCATCCATATATCTTTTTGAATTAGTTTTTTTTTTAAAGATTTATTTATTTATATATTTATTTATTCATACAAACACTGGGTACAGTCAGAAGTGCGGGAAGGTGAGAGAATTCACCAGAGCCAGAAGGGAGAGCAGAGTAGGCAGACTGACGAAGTACACTGCTGAGGGGAGCAGCGGGCGGCAGGAGAGGTCTGCGCACCATGTGGGACCCTCGCCCGGAGGCCGGGGATCCAATTGGCGCTGCAGAGGCAGCTTTGCAACCCCACGCTCAACTGCTGCGCCACTGGGGAGGCCCTTTGAATTAGTGTTTTCATGTTCTTTTTGGTAAATACTCAGAAGTGGAATTACTGGATCACATGGCAGTTCTACTTTTCATTTTTTAAAGGAATTTCCATACTGTTTTCGAAAGTGGCTACACCAACAGTGCACCATAACTATTTCTTGACTTTTTGATAATAGTCTGACGGGTATGAGGCAAATTGTGGTTTTGATTTGCATGCAAGGTAGGACATCTTTTAATGTGTCTATTAGCCATCTAAGTGTCTTCTTTGGAGAAATATCTTTTTAGATGAATGTGAAATATTGACATTTGGATTTTAATCATTTTATTTACCTCAACAACAATTTCATACAAATGTATTTTGTAATTAAAAAATACACCTTGAGTGCTCGCTTCAGCAGCACATATACTAAAATTGGAACAATACAGAGAAGATTAGCATGGCCCCTGCGCAAGGATGACACACAAATTCGTGAAGTGTTCCATATTTTTGGTCTCACTCATAGCAGGAATCTAGAAAACTTAAATAAGGGACCAGGAAAATGAATAACTATAAGAAAGTGAAAATCAAAATCAACAAAAAACTATAAACCAGAGACACTCTATGGGGGGTGGGGGCCGGGGAGGGGAGGGATTGGGGTCAAAATAAGGGGGTTGCAATTGTATGGGGAATATAAAAATAAAATTTATTATTAAAAAATAAATAAAACGGAACAAAATAAATAAATAAATAAATAATAAGAAATAGCACCTTGACTAGATGATGGTTTAGGGAAGGGATAATCCTGAGGATATAGTATTAACAACTAGTTTTTCTGGTAACATATCCTGTTTTATGTAAACAGCTCAGTTTATACAAATTTCAATGTAGTTTTGAAATATTTTCCCCATGTACTGTCAATAAATATCTCAAGGCCATTGGCATCTTTTCTAATCCTTTTTTCTTTTCCCTCATAACTCTGCTTGTCACACTGTGGTTTAACTCCATTTATTTAGGTGTTCTTCTATCATAGACTTTGATGGAATGATAGTGTTAGAGATAAGTTTGGACTCTGTGTTTTTTGTAAATTTCAAGGGATTACTAGAGAGTCTCCTAGTTGATGGGACAGGAATGTCTTCCTTTTAGTTCTGGGCATTTTCTTGGTCAGCAGAAAATCAGTTGCTTGAAGACCAGCAAGCCCCTGGTTAAGTTGCAGGTCATCTGCTTAAACATATGGCCACTCTTTGATTTTCTAACATTTATTCTCTGTAGCTTCTCACATGGACCATCAGGCCTGCCAAGATTCTCCCTGAATCTCTGGGAAGCATGAGGACATATTTTCCTGTAAATTTCCCTCTTAGTGACAGATATTTTAACTAGCCTGATTAAGAAATTCTAACCTTTCTGTGAGTAGAACCCATTGGTATAAATGTTTCTCCAATGAGAACTGCTGTAATGGATTCATCCTAGCTAACCCCTTTTCTAAATGACGTTCAGAGAATTGTTCTAGACCAGGGAGTAAATTACCATTTCTGCCTTTCTTGTCCTTTTAATTGTGCCAAAATTTACATAACATGAAATGTAAGTGCTATTTAGTATTTTCATTCTGTTATGCAACCATCACTGTAGATGAATTCCAGAAGTTTTCATCCTCCCAAACAAACTCTGATCCCATTAAATAATGACTCCTACTCCTGCTTTTTCTTCTGCCTGGCAACACTATTCTACTTTCTGTCACTATGAATTTAATTACTCGATACCTCATATAAGTGGAATCATACAGTTTGTCCTTTTGTGATTGGATTATTGCACTTAGCATATCTTCAAAATTAATCTGTGTTACACCATGTGTCCAAATGTCCTTCCTTTTTAAAGCTGAATAATATTCCATTGTATTTATATACTATATTACATACTATATTTTGTTTATTCACCCATTGATGGACAATTGAGTTGCTTTCTCTTTTTGGCTATTGTGAATAATGCTACTGTGAACATGGGTGTGCAGATGTCTTTTTGAATTCATACTTTCAGTTCTTTTCCAGAAGTGGAATTCTTGTATCATATGATAATTTGATGTTTAATTTTTTGAGGAACTGCTACAATTTTCTATAGCAGTTCTGCTTTATTCCTCATTTCTATCATAGCTACAAGACTGTGTTCATGACTGAATTATTAAGAACAAAATTAATTGGGCCTCCCTGGTGGCACAGCAGTTGAGCACCATGCTGCGAAGCTGTCCTCAGCATCTGCAGTGCCAGTTCGATTCCTCGCCGGCCAGGGAGAAACCCACATGGCGGGGCAGACCTCTTCTGCCTCACCCGCTGCTCCCCTCAGCAGTGTCTTTGGTCTGTCTGCCTGTTCTGCTCCCCGCTCTATTTCTGGTGAATTCTCTCACCCTCCCAAGCTTCTGACCTGTACCCCAGTTCTTGTATAAATGAATAAATAAATCTTTAAAAAAATTAATTGAGGGGCTACAACTTTCTCAGGTATCTTTCATTTAGGAGATCCTTTTTAAAAAATAAGGAATGATGCCTGAGGAAAAATTATCTTTCACCTCATGTTATGAATTTTTAAAAGGGTTAAAGTCGTGCCATCAGATTGAGCCCTTAAATACTGTGGGATTTGAGCTTTTTGCCCCTGATGTGACAGGGTTACTGGGTAGCAGAATCAAATAGCAACTCACTTTTAGCTCTTCTCTTACACTTAATGAAGCTTCACACACACACACACACACACACACATGCAGAGCCACAGTTTTGTTTTACTATGACCTTAGACAAGATATCCATATGGTAAGACCCAAGTTTGACTCTCAGGGAAAACGATGAGGCAGACTTTAGGACATGGTTTCCAGAAGTATAACCTATAGAGTGAACTCTGTGGTGCTCGCCTTTCAGGAAACACCACAGAGACTGCCTCACCCAATATCCACCCCAGAGGCAACGGACCTCAACACTGTAGGTTATAGGTTGCTTTCTGCCTTGTGCACAGAAAAACTAAGTACCCAGAGAACACTGCCTATTTATTGACTCATGTCAGCTATCCTAACAGGACTTGTGTAGGCTGTTGTTTCAGTACTCAGACTACACAGCAAGTAGTTTAATTGTTATCCTATCCAAAACATATGCTTATGCCACGTTTGATTGCATGAGAGGATATCAGTTCACCCTAGACTTGGCCACCTCACCAGCTAAATCGAACATCTTCACTCTCTGGCTTGAATTCATCCTCAGTTCAGTCCTAAGGAAAAACTTGTTTAAAGAAACAGAATTAAAGAGGATTCCCTGAAGGATATACAGACCCTCTGTCATCTTAGAAATTCTTGACATTTATCTACTCTTGGATTAAGCCTTCAAAAACAAAGAAAAAGGAATCTGTGGCTGATGACATCCTGATTTCTTATGGAAGATGGGCCTCCCTGGAGTAATGTTGTAACACTCAGCCCTTGTTGAAGTCCTCATTGTACAGTTGGTGTTTTCACTGATCCACTATACATCATTCCTACTGTGTATGAAGTCCTCTGAGTGAAATGCCCCCTTGCCTATTGGCAGGAACACTTGTCCTCTTCCGAACAACTGGTTGTTATGATCCTGCCTGCCACATGAACCACCTGTCTGCTTGTGGTCATGAGGCAGAGCAGTAGTCTTCCTCTAGCTTGGGCAAAGAACTCAGGGTAGCTTTTATGTGTTAACCTCATGCCTGTCTTCACCTTATTTTGTCAGTTCTTTTTTTTTTTTTTTTCATTAATCAGGTATTCGTAATTTCATTGAATATTTAAAGGATAAATAATATATATTATTTAAATTACATATGTATAAATTATAGTTTTCAGAAACTGGAATATGCTCAATATACTTGGTATTATTATTGGACCTCCCTGGTGGCATAGGGATTAAGTTTCAGCACTATCATGCTATCATCACTGTGGCCTGGGTTCGATCCCTGGCTGGAGAGCTGGCCCATATAAGCAGCAGACCTCAGTGTATTTTAGTGGAACCACCTGTTCTGCTCCCCACTCTGTCTCTCGTGGGTCCTCTCACCACCACCCCCACCTCTGGCCTGCATCCTAGTTCTTCTATGCATAAATAAAATAAATATTTTTTTTAAAAATAAAACCATTACTATTCTTTTTTATTTTTAAAGATTTGTTTATTTATTTATACAAGCACTGGGTACAGTCAGAAGCACGGGAGGGTGAGAGAATTCGCCAGAGCCAGAAAGGGGAGCAGAACAGGCAGACTGATGAAATGCACTGCTAACGGGAGCAGTGGGCATGGCAGAAGAGGTCTGCGCACCATGTGGGACCCTCCCTGGCGGCTGAGAATCGAACTGGCGCTGCAGAGGCTGCGGGCAGCTTCACAGCCCAGCGCTCAGCCGCTGCGCCACTGGGTAGACCCAAAATCATTACTATTCTTAATCTCACTAAATTGTAAGTTCTGTCTTCTCAGAAGCCTTGGCTATCTTGGTTACCTATCTGCAATTGCTACTGTTGTGCTTGACATGTAGTAGATACTCAATAACTATCCCTAAGAGATTTGAAGGAACAGAATCTCTTGGCAGCTCAGGGTTACCAATATCACAATCTATAGATGTTCAAAAGCAAAGAGATTGAAACTATGCTATTTTCTCCTCATTTGTCATACATAGGAGGGGTGCAGTGGCACATCTGATGTTCTCTATCTCCCTCTCTGCAGACTCACATTTCAAGACTCCCACCTGGTGCAGTGGCAGGACAGTCCGTGGCAATCGAAGGTGGAGTTTGCCGCCTGGAAAGCCCAGTGAATTGACCCTTCAGGTTGAGTCTGAAGCACATGAGAGGCATTTCAGAACCTGAGCTTTGGGGAGTTTTTAGCTGAAGTTGGGTATTTTATCTTCCTCGTTTTATAATTCCTGTTGTAGCCTTGAGCACTGCTTGCAACACTAGTGCTGCTGTTGATAGCACTTAGTGGCATGCGGGACTTTGGCAGGTGAGTGGGACTGAGAGAGAGAGAGAGAGAGAGAGAGTGTGTGGGTGTGGGGGTGTGTGCTTGCTTCCCTTTGATGAAATAAAAGCCCCTTCTTATTGTATGACCTAAGACCGGGAATGATTAAATCATATTACAAAATGTGTAGTTTAACTGTTTACAAGTAAAACCTAAAGAGTTGCAGAAAACATTTTTGATTTCATAAAGAGTTACCAGCTGTCTTTGATGTCATGTGTCTGAAATGAAGAGTAATCTGTTTGTTTCAATGATTTGACAGTGGTAGTGCTCCATTTAATAAAGTAATATGTAATAAAGTGTTTTTATTTGTTAACCAGTTTAAGTGTATCCTGTGGTAACTTAAACTGTAGCTCTCATCCCTCATATGGGGCATTTTTCTTTAAAAAACAATGGTTTCAGTGAAACAAACTAGCAGAGAAAAATTAAGGTCAGAACCTTTTTAAATAATAGTCTTATTGATATAAAGTCTGTACTTATTATTCCTCAAGATTTTCTAAGCTTAAATACTGCATAACTTCGAGCTGTATGTACTGTATTATGAAAGACTATAAAGAGAACATACAGTAATGAATGCACAGTCCTTAATTTGTGAATAGTGGAATGTTATTTACAATGTAACACTGTAAATAAGAAAGCAAAATTTATGGGAAAATTCAATATTATCTTTGTTTCTTGTTTAAATATATTTTTAAGATAAAGGCATAAAAATAAAAAAAAGCATATTACTGTGTATAGTGTGTAACTCCTCTTCTCAGACTAATAAATTATCTTTTGAATCCTAGATTGGAGAGTCATTTTATTTTGTTTGTAAAAAGTTACTTCTTCCAGAAACCACAGCCTTTAATCCCTCTTCCTGTGGTTCAAAGTCCACTCTGTGCAATTAGACTGGACACTAGCAAGGTGAGAGTTGAACTTAGAAAATAATCAAATGGTTACTATAGAAATCCTTAAAAGTTCCTTTGCAGTTTGATAAAAATAACAAAGGGGGGAAAATAAGAACATTTTGCTTTGAAAACTCAAAGTGGCACTTGAAAACTCAATGGTTTCAGTTGATAAATTGCTTCTAAATGTTATATTTAGTGATTCTGGAGCCACATAAGAAAACCAAGACTTTCCTTTTGATTTTATATGTAAAAAGTGGCTATCAAGAAGATACTAAAGATAGACTTGCTCAGGAAGAGGAAGTTCCCTGCACCATATAATCATGGCTCTGGGCGGTAACTGATAAAGCCCCAGATGAAATTATATACTTGATGTCGATATATGGTCAAATTATAAAGAAAAGACAACCAAAATGGAGTGGGTGTAAATATGAATAATTTGGGAGTTGCTGATTTATATTCCTCTTACAGGCAATTACATTTGTCTCGCTGTGTTCTCCTAGACAGGTTGGTGCCATGGTATCTGTTTCTCATTCTTAATGAGGCTGACAACTTAGTAAGAGATGGACTGACTGGTGGGGAGCCTTTGGCTTCAAAAGCTTTCAAAGACCTGTTACCTGGTGGCAGGATTTTTTCATGAACTGGGCTGGATCATGTAAAACTATTAGGACACTTTGGAGTCTGAAAATGGTCTGACCTATTTCACCAGGAATGCCATTTCTTTCATCTCCTTTTGACTATTTCGTTTATATGTAAAAGATTGGGTTTGTTTAAGACCCATTTTATAAATATTTTTAAATTAGCATAAATGAGCAGTGCCCTTTCAAGGGTAGTTGGTTAAGATTTTACTCTTCACTCTCTTTACTGTTTTTTATTTTAAATTTAAGGAATATTGAGCAATGAGGGGACAATGTTAGAATCATGCAGGCAAATAAATAATAGGTAGTATAATTTTCTTTATATATATATGTGTGTTTGTGTGTGTATATAATATATATGAAACATATATTATAAAATCAAATGTTAAAGATACTGACAAATGTAAAATCAGCTTCAGTTCACACAAAAGTAGAAAAGGTGGAAAGAGATAAGAAAATAAACTCATTCTGTGGTCTGGCTTAGATACACAAGATTCTGAAGCTGTATTTTAAGATGCATGATCCATTTTTAATGTAGGCAACCTTAACTGTATGCCTGTTTTCTGTTTCTTTTTAAGGCCTAAGCATTGGATATTTCCTTCACTTAAGCATAATTAACTCTGGTCTGGATTCCTCAAGGCCATCACTGTGATCTTACTCTGGGTGTGGAAACAGGGGTGTCTTCTGGTCTTAGGAAACAGACAGCATTTTCTCTCATGGAACCTGGGGTGCCTTTGTTGACTGACACACATGGCAACCCTGTCTAGACTTTGTCGTCTCTTACCAGTTTAGCTCCTAGTCCCTTCTGTGTGTCTTCCTATGGCAGACCCTTTCCTTCTCATCTTTTAACTGTCACTCCTAAATGTGAACTCAAATTCAGATATCATTGCATGTTAGTATTAAGTACAAAGCACAAACATCCTAAATACTAATCAGATGTGATTGTGAGGAAAATGGATGAGTTTTAGTTTATGAATATGGGGGCATCTCTTTTGGCTGCTAAAAAGCCCTTTTGCCTAGTTCCTCATTTTCTTTCATGTTTGACAGTGGTGATACTGCACATCAGAGACCTGCAGATAACCAAGGTTACTCTGTTTTGCAGCATTGGATGGAGGGATGGATGGAGAAAAGGAGGGAGTAAAGAAGGAAAAATTTAGAAAAGTGATGGAATTGTTCTTGAATCATGAGACTATATTTTATTATTGTGGAATCTGTTTTTAAAACCTGGTCCTTATTATAAAAGTAAACCATTCTCATTACAAAAAAAAAATCAGAAAATAGATAAGGAAGAATAAGAAAAAATTAACTTGTAAGTCAAAGAACAATTAATACGATTTTAATTTGTGTCCTAAAAAGTATTTTATGCATAAATTTTCCAGTTTTAACACAAAAATGGGCTTATGTTAACTACCCCAAATGGGGTTAGATAGCATTCAGGTTTTAGTTAATATTGTAGAAATATGTCTAGAACTATAAGGTTTTGCAGTATCTCATATACTGCTTTCCCACACAGTCCTGGCTCAGCTAATGTTTTTCAATATATTTTATCTTAAACTTTCATTGAAATCTATCACAGTAAAGTACAGTCAGGATTCATATTCTTGGATCACCGGTCTATACAATGAGCACTGTCATAATGTCTTAGTGAAAGCCAGCTCTGCAGGCATCCTGGAGAAGCCATTGTCATTGTTGCTTCCCATGAATCATCCATTTCAGAGTACCCCCCACAACTTTTAAAGGCTACTATCAGTACCTCTGTACCTGTGGACCTGGACTTTTCCTGGGACCACTGGGACTATGAAAAACTGCTCTATCTCTGCACAAAGCAGGCCGGAAGTGCAAGGGGACCAGCACTCCCCAACAAGCAGTTCTCAACAAGTAATTGACCGAGTTGGTATATAGATACACTAGCTTCCTTGTTCCTTGGATGGTATAATTCTGAGGCATATGTTTTATACTGTTTGAGATATTTCCATGAGAATAAAGCCTTAGTTGCCCCCTGTTGTAATTAACTTATTAATATACCTTGCATTGACTTTCTTCTCTTCTCTATATCCTTCTTGAATATACTTCCTGTTTTTCTTGGACTTACCTCCTGCTCAGACTTATCTCCTACTCAGTCATCTCTTGTACTCAGCTGCTTGTCTCAGGGTTGCTTTTGAGGGACTTGAATGAAACTGAAAATCATTCCATTCCTTATGGTCTTGGCCACAAGGTCTTGGCAAACCTTTTTTAATTCCCATTCCCACTGAGGGTGGACTTACCAACTTGTATACCCCACTCTGAGGTTTTCCTGCCATGGGTTCCTTATAGACCATCTTCTATATATGTATAGAAGACATAATATCTGATGAGCATTCTCCAAGTGGTAAGGGTGGATGTGTCACAAGTGGAAGGATGGTTACAAAGTAGTTTTCACGGACACTGGAAAAGTGGAGACAGGTGAACACTTTAACAAGATGGTGAATACACGAAACCTGCAGAGCAACCATCCTTTAAAGATTGGTGGCTGTCTTAAAGAAAATAACCTTATTTGTGATCATGATAGTTGGAAGAAACTCCAGTCAAAGGTGTGTTATGACTTTGAGACTTAAAGCGACCAAAACAGAATGTCAGTGTCCCTGTGTCTGAAAACTTCTCCACATTGACCAATGCTATAAAACTTCATATGGCAGGGCCTCCCTGGTGGGGCAAGGGGTTGAATCTCAGCACTATGAAGCAATCTGCATCCACTGCAGCATGAATTCGATCCCCGTCCAGGGAGCTAAGCCACATGGCACAGCAGACCTCTCCTGTTTTGCCCACTGCTCCCCTCAGCAGTGTATTTCAGTCAGTCTGCCTATTCTGCTCCCCACTTTGTCTGTGGTGAATCCTTTCACCCTCCTGCACCTCTAGCCTACACCCCAGGCTCTTGTATACATAAAAAAACATAAATAAATAAATCTTAAAAAAAAAAGTTCACATGGCAGCCATTTCCAGAATGCCATATCTAAAGCCTGGATAACTATAATATAATTTTATGATTAATTTTTGTTTAATTTTAAAAAATACCATTTTTTTCCATCATAATGAAAACCTAAGTTCGATTCCAGGAACACAGGATAACAATAAACTAACAAAATTTTTATATCAGAAACATAATAAAAATTGAGAATATTTTCTTATGTTGATGAAATATTCTATATAATAATATTCTAAATATAATATGTTGATGAAAATTATTCTATCTGGAGAGATCATGATTTATTACATCCTAGCATTTCTTTTTCAAAAATTTTTTGAAGTAATACTGGTTTACAATCCTGTATAGGATCACACTATAAGATCACACTCTTTAGGTGTATGTTATATGGTTAAATTTTTCAAAACTGCCTCAACAGTTTTCAAAAAAACCAAACTGTTTAAGTCAAAAACATTAATTTTGTTCTGAGATAAACCAAAGAGTTTCTCAACATTGTGAACCCCTCTGTGCTGTAAAACCAAGTCCTTGTCCAACTTAAGTTTGCAGTGATTAGTCATGGGGAGGACCTGCAGAGGGGCAATGGGTGGAAGTCATTCCCTCTTCCCAGAAACAAACCCAAGAAAATGTTAAACAATTGAGAAACGAGCCCTTGTAGTGTGATTAATTTGTTTTATATAAGCTGTGTTCTAAACCTCCCCCCAGTGCTGACTGAGTAGTGGAAAGAGTTGTGAGTGGGTGAAATCTACCAGGCACGTGGGAGTGAATAAGTGGGAGATTGGTGACATGAGAGTAATCTTTGACCATGAGAATTTGTCCTGAGTCCTTAAGAATGTGTAAGGAATGTACTGCCTTTACCCAGCACTTAATTTGGATTCAAGTTGACAAGGTATTAGCCCAAATATCTATCATCAGAGACCCACAGGGTGCTCAAATCGACCAGGCAGTATTCCTTATGCCTGCAGTCTACAAAGTGTATGGCCACAGGAAGGATTAAATCTAAAACTGGCAAGGGCCTCCCTTCAAAACCTCTGCACTCAGCTTCCAGAACTCCATCAGCCAAGCCCAAGGTGGTTCATTGTGACCAGTTGTGGAAAGCAGGAAGGAAAGAATACAGAGGTTTCTCCTTTACATGCAGTCACTGAAGCCCTGAAACCACAGTGGCAAAGCCAGAGAAAATAGGCAAGGTTTTCTCTGCCTTGAAATGCCATGGGGATTTTGCTGATTGTCAACAGAGCTTCAGAAAATGGAGAGAGAAAAATATAAACAAGTCCTTTGATCTCTGCTATTGCTATTGCTATT